AGGCCGCGGTCGGTGTGTCCCCGGGCCCCGCTCCCGCCCCTGGCCGCGGCACGGCCCCGGCCACGGGTGGGAGCTCCCTCCCGGCGTTACTGTACGGGGCGGCACTACTTCATCCCCTCTTCCTTAGCAGGACTGCACCGCCTTACAGAGAAGGCTTGCTAAGAGGTACCACATTTCAACCCTCTGGCCTTTGTAAGGGGTCAGACCGGACTCCTGGCTCCCAGGTCCTGTTAAGGAAGGGTTGGAGAGCTGGAGGATGCTCAATCACGATACCGTTAACCCTTGAGACAGATAGTTTTGCTTATTAATTAACGCATAGAGTGGTTGTGTTTCGGGTTGACAGGAGTGCAGCCCTGCTCCATGCTGTATCTGTTTGCAGTCCTCTTCACTGTATTTTTCTTCTTTCAGGCTGCAGCAAAATACCTGTAAACATCTCGGGAGCTTCCTGGGAACTCCTCAAATGAATGTGCAAGCTCCAGCTGTAAGTTTTAATTCAGTGAGTTTTCATAAGCTTTAGTACATGATCCTGGAGGCTGCCATCCTTGGCTACGAGTCCCCCCGACTTGAAACCAGGAGACCAAGAGGTTTTTCTAGTCTGTGTCCTGGGTTTGCTGGTGGGGTCTCCCTGTCTCAGAGGCCTTCACGCTCTTGTTTTGCTCCCGCGCACACACACGTGTGCAGACACACACCGGCCCTGTGTCTGCATTCATCTGGCAGCCGTCCTGGTTGCAGGAGGGAGCAAACGGCGCCAACGGCCTCATCTGTGGGCGCTTCCCTCTCCACGTACGCTCGGTGCACGCAGAACAGAGAGCCCCTTGCCCAGGAATGTACTTAGAGATGGATTTTGGTGAGAATTCAGGCCAGACTGGGCCGATGGGGCAGTTCTTCCCCAGAGCAGCCGGGTCCCTCTCTTCCACCCGCCCAGCCCAGCTCGCGCCGTCCCCAGAGGCTCTGCCCTGCCGTGCCTGGCAGCCCCGTCCCTCTGTGCGGCCATGGGTGTCAGGGCTGTGGGGGCTGTCAGCCCCGGCCCTCGCAGAGGCTGCAGCACAGGCTCTGTATCTCTGGCAGGGGCATTTGGGTGCCCCCCGCCTAGCCCCCTGCACTCCTTTTTGCGCAGGGCATAACCCAAGAGGAGGAGTTAACCCCCAGCCTACAAACGTCCTGGGCGTACAGGGCCCAAAGGCAGCGTTGAACAGAGCAGATACGAGCCAGGAATGAACGTTTGGCCCAGGAATCAGGAATGGTGGTGTTAGGAGGGGGAGTGTGTGAAGCTGCTGATGGTAGCCTGCACCAGTCTGTAGCAGGAAGAATTGCCTAGACTCTTTATTGTTTTCCAGAACTCTCTTCCCTGCAGTGCCATTATAAAGATTTTAAAAGTTTATTATATAGCCCAGCTTAGAGCAAAATGGTCCCTGAATGTTCCTAAAGAAATATTTTTTTTAAATTATTAGGAAATTTTTGCATGCACTTTTATTCACAAATAATGCAGTTTATGGCAAGTGAAACGCAGATATGTTTACTGATCTGATTAAATAGAAAATATGGAAAATATTAGCTATCTCTTAAAGTGATGATGGGAACGGTAACATAAGCTGAATTCTCTACTGTTTAATATGCTCTTCCTGCAATAACACTTTCCTTTTTTTGCTCAGTAAGTTAAACATGTGCTTCTGTCATGTTTTCTTTCTAAACCAGCCCAGCTTCTTTTATTTTCTTTTGAATGAAACATTATTTAATCTTTATTTGACCTTTTTTTTTTTATTAAGTTTTATTTGAACAAACTTTGTGAAAATCGTTCCACTGCCTTCCGTTCCGGGTTTTGTTTAGCTACACCTCTCCTGGTGGCTCTGTTTTTGAAGCTGTGTAGCCTAATGCAAATTGAGCCTGATCCCCCAGCATCCACAGTGCGATACCTCGTTAAAAGCTGCTTGTTACGGCAGCCCAGTGCCCGCTGGTGCTGTCTGCATCCGCTCTTGCTCCGGGTGGATCTCTTTTATCTCCTTTATGCTTTGTGTTCCGCTGTACCTGCAGCCCCTGCCAGAGCTCCTGGGCAGGGAACCGAGTTGTAGCCGCCGGGGCCGTGACCAGATTGTCGTTCCGTGCTGGGGAGGCTGCGGCGTGCACGCAGGCCACGGCTGCCGCCACACAAAGCCCTGCTCTCCGCTCTCACGCCTGGGGTACCCACTACCATCTCCCGGCAGCGGCAGAACGGGTGCTGTCACAGGGAGCTGCATCAAGGGGATTAATGAGGCTGAAAAAATCACTTCTGTTTTTCTGCTGGGTAAAATTTCACCAGGGGCAGTTCCCTCGTCCGGGCTGCTCAGATTATCAGTGAACTCAAATGTTTGCGCTGCATGGAGCAGGGTGGTACAGTGGCGGAGGAAAACAGTTGCGGAAGGTGCTTGAAAGGGTGGAGAAGTGCCATTTGAGCAGCAGTACTGCTTTAAATGCACACCAGGTGTGGCTTTGGGGTCTTGGCTACGTTGTCAGGTTGCATGGTTTGGGTTCATTTCTCCTCAGGAACCAGCTGCTCTTTCCCAACTCCACTTTTCACCTACAGAAGGTAAAGAAGGTCAGGGTGTTTGCAGGAATTTCCACCGCTGTTATCATTTCAAAACCAGCATCCACCTCCCTCTTGGGCTGAAACTTCCCATATTGTTCAATCCTAAGTGGAATGAAAAGCTTCTTCATACAACAGAATATTTTAGTAATGCAAAATCCCCTTGTCTTTCAACTGCTAAGGAAGAGGAAACGTAATTCCCTGGCAGGCATCTGGTCTGTCCCCCCTTAGGCAGAGCCCCTCCCGAAGAGGACGTTTTCCGTGGTTAAACAGGGCAGGGTTCAGGTGACGGTGTCCAGGAAATAGTTTCCACGTGGCTGTGGCGATACCAGCATCTGATCTGTGGCACCTTTGTTACTCAAGTCATATGACAAAAATGAGTGAGGAAGACTACAGTAGGATTCCTTCTGTTCCTGAAATGAGAAATGTGGTTTTTACCTTAACATACGTTCTTAGTTTGGCATAACACTGGCCTTATTATTGTACAGGTATATAAGCAGGAAGGGGGGGGGAAGCTTGGTATCTTGCAGTTTTTAATCAATACACCATCAAACACCATCCTACCTCTTGATCCCTTGCTGCAGGCTCAGCTAGTGAAAGTGTGTTTGATCATTATGTATATGGGAGAACCGGGCTGAGGTTAACGCTGTTCAGCGATTCATTTATGAGGAGCTGCTGCAGAAATAGAATCTGCCTGCTTGTGGATGCTGCTCTATAATAAAAGTGGTCTTTGTTTTGGACAGACAGGTATGCTTGGTTTATTTTTCAGTAGCAACAATACTCAATTTTCCTGTGCCAGCAAAAGTCTTGGTCAAATAGACTTAGTTTTCCTCGACCTAAAATGTGATGCTGCATTCCAAACTTGTGTCTTTCAGCACCTTTCTCTTTTACTACCTGCTTCAAATTCCTCACACAGGAATGAAAACAAAGTTAATTAAAAATCAGTAATGTTTTGGCCTAACAAAGCAGCAGAGGTTTACTTGTGCCTTTGACAATTCCATTTCTGTCCAGGAAGTTAATTCACGTCCAGGGCTGAATGTTTGGTTTCTACGTCAGTTTTCATGAGGTAGCTGTGTGCACAGCTAGGTTTGCATGACACCCTTTCAAAAAGAAGATTATTAGAGATAAAAAGGCCCTTTAGCAGTGATTAATTGCTATAGCAGTGATTAATGGCCCTGTCCAAATATTGCTTTTCACGCGTAACAAGGTACTGATCCGTGCTCGAGGGAAGTGCAGCAGCTGTTGTGTACATCACGGATGGGCATGAGGAAAAACTTCCCCTGCTGCTGCTCACAGACCCTGATCTGGGCCAGTCCCAGCAAATATCTCCAGTTCAGTTTCTGGATTTTTCTCCTAGATATTTCCTTCCTCTGCCTTGTTGCTCAGTCTCAGCTTTCACTCAGGCCCCTTTGCCCCAAAATAGCAACACGCTCTAGCCAAAAATACACTCATTCCTGCGCTGTTGCTCCTCTCTTTCCCTGCTCTGCTCCTGTTTGTCCCATTCTGGCAGCGTTTTTGAGATTTTTGGGGAAGGCGGGAGGACTAAGGCAGCACTGTTCTCGCTCAGCCTCTCCTTGCACCCCGTGGCCGTGTGCTCCCGGCCCTCCGTACCCCCGTTCCTCGTCAGCCTCCCGCTCCGCTCCCCCTGGGCTGTGCAGGGGGCGAGGGGCTTCCTGCGAGAGGGTGTAACCCCCTGCGGCCAGCCCCTTCCTCCTGCACACAAAGCCTTGCAGAGGGAGCTGCTGTCGCAGAAGTTACCCCTGGCATCTGTTAGTTCCTGGTGGCTGGAAAGCAAGTTTGGTTTTAATAAACATCATCACTTGGAGATAAGGGAACTGAAACCAAGCACAGCTACGGCAGGGTTTTGAATCTGCCAGGCAGGCTATCCCTCTTCCCATCCATCTGCAGATTTCTGCACAACCCCCAAGGTCAATATAAAGCTGCGTGACCCGAGTTTGTTC